AAAACGCAATTAAGGCACCATCCAACCACATTTAGGGTGATGGGTTTTTAATGTTATATGATAGCGGGGCCCCTAACTAAGCAGTTGCCCAAGTCTCGCTGCGAAAAATGAATCTCAAAGCAAAAAAGTCGCTCTAGAAGGCAGAAGAAACCATGCTGGCTCCGCCCATCAACATGGATGATCTAAGGATGCAAGTCCGGATGAGCTCTAGGTAAACAGAAAGGTTGTATTGATAGTCAAAATAAAGGGGGGTTCTATAACATCTCTGGGTAGATCAGAGCCCAAGTTTGGATTTGTTATCTTTCAGACCACCCAAGTTGGGCGTAGTCAGCGTGGCCGCTTCTACCTCATGGTGCGGTTTTCACGCTTTAGAATTCATCTTTTGCAGCAAGACTTGGATAGCTGCTTAGTTAGAGTCCCCGCTATTATATAGCATCAAATTCTCATATTCCGATGCTATATAATAGTGGGGTCTTCAAAACAGTGGGTACTTCATTAGATATTAAGATGTAATGTACACTAGGATCCCAAATGTATTAGCACTTTGGTATTCTTGCAGTTTTATTGCAAGCAGTGAAATTTGATGAGATCCCGATCAAACACGCTCGCGCGACGACCCACTCACATTACAAGTGCCCCCGAACTCTCGACCACCTAGTTCAAACACTTACTCTTGAAGAATGCGTGTCTGAGTGGTGATGTTTTCTTTCTTCATGTTTGTGCCTCTCACGACGTTTGCGCTCTTCTTCACGCTCTTTTCTTTCTCGTCGTTCATCTTCCGCATCTTCATCAACACATTCAAGTTCATCTGGATCGAATTCGACATCTTCATCTCCATTTTCCGCTTTGGAAGGATTCTGCAAGTGGCGAAAAATGGAAAGCCGTAAATCACACAGCAGTCCAAAAAACCACAAGAAAATTTCACTCTAAACAAGTGACTCTATAGTCATAAAGCCAAAGCGAATCTATAAATAACAAAATTGGGACTAGTTCGCAAGGTAGAGAGAAACTAACTGCAAGTTTTCACAGATTTGATTGCAACCTGTCAGTACAGTGTTTAAAAAGAGACCAAAAATTTGTAATTTTTCTATCTGAGATCTTTCTATCTCCATGTCAGCAATGGGAATGGTAGCGGAGTATTAATCGCCTTTCTTTTGCTGAGTCTATAACATCAAAACAGAAAAAGAAACCATATGTATAGTCGAGTAGATTTTCCGCTTAATATAGTGTACT